TTGAGCTATGCGTCTTGCTAATCTTCTTTTAAGTTTCTTTATTTGTTTGGTTAATTCTATTGCTGAGTTTGGACTAAAACTAGGACTCATACCCGGGGGTTGTAAGGGTCTTACTATGAATCCTAAACCAGGGAGTGCCCCTTCTATCGGAACAAACTCATCGTTTTGGTTTTGGTTATTCATGATGCATACTATTTCCCCCCCCACAAGAAAACCAAATATGATTAATAAACCAGAGCACTATGGCTCGATACCAATTTTGTCAGGATCAAAAATAGAAAATAGAAAATCGAAAATAGAGATCAAATCAAAATATTCTTGAGATATAAATGGAAAGTTGGAGAAATCGAATAAAAGAAACTTACAAAGATATATATTTATATATTTATACTAATAAGGCTTATATCTCCTCGTTTATATATTTATATATTTATATAAATATCTTTGTAAGTACTTGTTTCTTTTAATTAAAACTCATCGTTTATATATTTATATATTTATATATTTATATATTTATATATTTATATATTTATATATTTATATATTTATATATTTATATATTTATATATTTATATATTTATATATTTATTTATTTATATATTTATATATTTATATATTTACATTTTATTTATTTATATATTTATATATTATATATATTCATATTTTTATATATTTTATATATATTTATATATTTATATTTTATATATTTATATATTTATATTTTATATTTATATATATATATATTTATATATATATTTATTTATAATTAAATATTTTTATATGTTTTTATATATTTTTATATATTTATATATAATTAAATATTTATTTTTTTAAATTATTTAATTTAAGAAATTATTATAAATTAATCTAATTATGATTAAATGAAATTATTAAATAAAAAATATTTAATTTTTTAATTAGTTGAATATTTACTAATTGATAATTTGTCGACGGAAATATCCGTCGGTAATTTACAAATGAATTTCCGATCGGTAATTAATTATTAATTTATCGACGAATTTATCTATCCGTCGGTAAATTCATCTGTAAATTACAGACGGATTTATCGATGGATATATTTGTCGGTAACTAATTATTATTTTACCGACGAGATATATCCGTCGGTAAGATCAAATTCCACAAATATTTTATATCTGTCGATAATTTCAGTCGATAATAATTATTTTTAAACGAGTTACAAATCTGTCGGTAAATATCAGTCGGTATCATAGCGATTTTCTTGCAGTGTTAATTGTTAATTTAATATTTAATAAAGATCAATAAAAATATTTGTAAAATAATTTAATTTGTTTTTGTATTAAAAAATTATTCAAATTAATCATAAAATTTAACTATGATTCATTTTGATTTTAAAATAATTTAAATTAAACCAAACTAATGTTTTTACGGTTTATTTTAAACAACTTTTATTATAAAATTATAAAATATATTATAATTAAAAAATATTATATATTATAAAAATATCACACACACACACACACACTATATATATATATATATATATATATATATATATATAATATTTATAACTTTAATTTATTTTTGTATAAATATAGATTAAATTATAAAAATAATAATTTATTATGATAAATATTTTATATGTTTTTTTCAATGATATATATTAAAATTTTCATTTAACTCAATTCGAATTAATTATTAATTATCAAATCAAAAATTAAATATATGAATTTTAAAAAAATTTAAATTTTGTTTTTTAATCTATTTTTAATTTATTTATTTTAAATAGATTATATTATTTAATATTTGAATAAGTTAATATTTTAAAAATATGTTAATAGAATACTTAAATTAATTAAATAATAATAATAATAATAATGATGATGATTATTATTATATGCGTAAGGTCGAAACCCTTAAGCCAGGTCGAAGAAATACTTAAGTGACAAACGGAAAATGTCGAATCTAGAACTCTATCGTTCAACGATTAGGGTCATTGAGTCAATTGAGGTGGTAGAACCTCTTTCTCATTCTCTGGTAATGTTTGTCTAGATCTTTGTTACCTCTTGCTCATTCGCTGGTAGTGTTTCTCTAGGTCTTTGATCATAATTGATCAGCATCTCATTTCTAAGAACTCTTGTAGGTTGTCTATGTTTTCAATGCAATAGGAATGGGTTATTGAACAGTATTACACTATATGGTCCAGAGAGTTGATTCATAGAGATTTTGAACTGGTTCACAGAATAATTTAGAAATTCCTCTAAACGGAATATCAGGGTTAAACACAGAGGAAACCTTGGCCGTCAACAATGCAATAAAGAAATTTGACTTCAGAGGACATTACTTCGAGGTACAGATGGATAACTCTTCACTCCCAAAGATCCTAGAGTTGAAAAGCTCCACGTCAACCAAAAATCTATCCAGTTTACCGAGGCGATCTTCAGAAGATCTATAGACGACACGGTCAATATCATCTTCAAAAAACCCGAAGATGTAAATACATTTCGTTGTGCATCATCATTTCATCCATTCGTTGTAATCATCCGTTAAGTCTTCAACCTTTTGAAATTCTTCGGATACGTAGATCTCAGTCGTTGATTTGAAGAACCTTATCTATTGAGATGCATTGTCTTTTGGGACGATCTATTCAGAGGATAAGAACACCTATCCACTTGATGAAAATTACAGGGCACAACTGGCGCGACACCTCTGCGAAGTCAACAACTACCATCAAAAGCAAGTGGATCCAACATCGCTAGCTTATCCCAAAGACCACTTAGTTCTTATCCTCTAAATATGATCGTTGACTTCACAGAGGTGTCGCGCTAGTTGTCCCTTGTAACTTTCATGAAGTGGATAGGTCTCGAAGCTGCCCCAGATGTAGGCTTCATTTCTTGACCATAGTTGACAATTTACTTTTCTGAGTCATGATGTCAGAAAAGAACTTGTGTTTTTCCTCTTAACTTCTTGAAGAATATAAAATTCATCTTCTTCTTGCGAACAAGTGGTTTTTCCCGCATTTTCTTCTTGTAGTCGCAATAGTAGTCAGAATCGCATATGTCTAGGTCAAAGTCCCAGATGAAGTGTCCTCCTATCTTATCAGTGAAGGTAGGTTTGCCATCAAGGTAGATATTGGCAATAGGGATTTTGCCTTCTTTAGTGACCTGTGATATCATCATGGATTGAAATATTGAGGTGCTTGAACTAGGAGTCACCTCCTATTGCTCCTTCTTCCATCTCATCCATGATGATCAACCCAACAATTTACAAAGAAGAATTTCCTCCTCTTGAGAGGAACATTGATCCAATGTCCAAGATGACGACTAAACCACACGTTGTTGGACATCCTACCATCTCTCATAGATTAAAAGTTCAGATCCATATCACTGGAGCTGAGCAGGTAGCTGATGTACAATCAGCTTGAAGGGTAATTATACAAAGAACTCAGGATTCTTCTATAGGGGCTTTGGATGAGAGAATTGTTCATGACTGTTAGCGGACAAAGAGACTAACTTGCTCTTTATTTCTTCAAAGTCTGGAGGAGCTTCATTTTTTTACTCTAGTTAACCTGCATGATTTAGAAAATATAGACGGTGGATGGACGATCTTATTCAGAGGATACGAACTAAGCGATCTTTGAGATAAGCTGGCAATGTTGGAGTCTACTTGCTTGTGATGATAGTTGTTGACTTCGCAGAGATGTCACGTCAATTATGCCGAATACTGCTAAGGTTTATACTAGTTCATGAAACTAATTTTGCCAGACAACTCCAAGGTTATGATAACACTCTTGAGAGTTCCAATCATTCTATAAGAGAAATTCTTCAACAAAAGATGCATAACCTTTGCAAAACCACCTCCTTTGCTTCTTCCATTTCATACATGATAATCAACCCCATCTCATACATGATAATCAACCCGACAAATTACAAAAAAAATTTCTTCCTCTTAAGAAGAACGTTAAAATTATTTCAGAAATCGATTTACGTGATCGTAACAATGATTATTAAAATTTAGTATATTTTACGATACTTCAGAGATTAATTTTCAGTCCTCATAATTCTGTAACTATAAAGTTGCATAATTTCTTCTTGAGCTAATAAAGGTAAAATTGTAAAAAAAAATACACCAAAAAATGATTATTAAAAGAATATCATATTTTTTCTGTCTCCCACACTTGAAAAAGAGAAAAAAGAGAGCAAATTTTCAATGCGAAGATAAAAATGAAGTAATAGCAAGCTTAACACTGTAACTTGTCATTTGTTTCCTTGCAGCTGTAGAATTAAAAATCACGGTAAAACCTATAATTAAATGATATGCGCAGATACTAAAATATGAAGTGTGTACAATTATAAGAATTAATAAGTAAACCTAATAAGAGACTATAATAAATTCAAGAATAATTATTAGTAAAATAATAAATAGGATTTTATCAGACAATTGAATAACAATATATCAATACAAATATTATTTATTCAAGGAATATTCTATAATTTGATAAAAAAATCCAAAATAAAGAAAATATTGTAACAAACCCAGTTTTGAAAGTCATATCTCTGACACAAGAACATAGATTGTATGTTTCATTGACCTTGACTCCACATTATTGCGATATAGAGCCATAAGCAGGCATTTTAATTGAAAAACAATAACTGTCAAATTAACGCTGCAAACTAAATGAACAAGAAAGTGATGATGAAAACATATTAAATACCTGTTCTTTCAAATATTTGCAGCATCTAATAAAGAAAATGTTACATAATCAGCTGTGCTGGGGCAGCATTCTATTGTGAGAGCACAACTTTTGGGTTTAAAGTAAATGCCTCATCTACCCTCTCTTATTAAAAAAATTACAATTCTGCAAAATTTATTTTCAGTGCTAAACACTTCAATCAAAAATTGGTCAGGGATACAATCAACCAAAACCCAAATGGGAATATAGAAATACCCGGGTGAACAAAACCTCATCCGCCGCTTGCTTGAAATAAATTTAGTACGTCATGGCAGCCTTCTATTTATTCTTACAACAATATAGATTCTGGATTTTCAATATAACCTTTGAATGCTTTTAACCATTCGGCACCGATTGCACCTGAACAGAACAAATGTTTTGTTAGCATTTTTACCACAAAATACGTTTAATTTAAGTTACAAAATACATTGAAGATTAAGAATAATTAATACCATCTATAACACGATGATCACAGCTGAGGGTCACAGACATAAAAGAAGCAAACTTGAATTCTTCAGCACCTGATCCCGGAATGACCCTCCTCTCAGCTGCTCATACAATCAGCAATACACGATGATAATCATTAAGAGAATAGTGATTATAGTTGATAAAAGAAATAAAGGGGAAAAATGTCAAAACTGTTCTCACCAGATCCAACTGCTAGAATGCCCGACTGAGGAGGATTGATGATTGCACAGAATTGTTTGACACCAAACGGCCCTCCCAGGTTAGACACTGTAAACGTACCTCCCTGTAATGCAAGTCAACCCAAGCATTTATAAACCAGCCCAAGAAGTCGTTATTCACAGATGAATAAGAATAAACATGAAACTCCAATAACCTCATAATCTTGGGGTTTTAAGCTGTTTTCTTTGGCTTTCTTTGCCAATTGTTTGACCTCCTCCCCTATTGTAGAGAGGCCTTTCTTGTCCGCATCCTGCAAATATTATGAATAGGTGAAATTGACGACCTGTGATTAGAATATAGACTGCAACTGTATTTCAAATAAAGAGGCTCTTGCTCACCCTGATGACTGGAACAAAGAGTCCATTATCAGTCTGCACAGCCACATTAATGTTCACATTATTATACCTGCACAAAAGCAGATAACAAACGTTACAATTAAAGTTATTCACAAATTTGATGGCAATACTACATGAAAAACTGATGACTTACTGGCGAATATAATCATTTGCCCATGAACTGTTACATTGAGGAACTTTACGGAGAGCCAAAGCAGCAGCCTAAAATAAAAAACACAGGTATAAGATTTAGTTTCTTTTATTAACAATGTTTACAATGAGGTTTGAACCTGAGAGACCTGATGCAACATATATATCCTACATAGAACAGGTTTAAGCTAAAAAAGCTCCCTTTTAGTGATTTGTGAGACGGGTTTTGAACCATGCCTGCAAGTCAGGTAACTGAACCACCCCTTAAAAGTTGAGAAGTGATGATGTAACAACATTTGGCTAAAATCCATATCCATTTCACAGGACTGCATTTTCACAATTGATAATTGTTGTGTATAGGAATGTCAAAATAGGTTTAGCCCGATAGATTGGCTCGAAAGACTCGAGAAATAAGCCAGATTAGGCAAAAAAAATTTATAGCCTAATCTGAATCAGACTTATTTTGACCCGACCTATTTAGGCCATAATTTATATAGACTTAGGCCAAGCTAGCAATAGGCTTATGAGCCGACCCGTTTTATAAAATAATAATTATTTTTGTAAATAAAAATAATATTATTTATTAATATATATATATATATATATATATATATATATATATATTATAAATTAATTTGACAAATATTCACTTATTCTAAGAGTAAATTTCAGAATAAATCTCTAATAATGACTTATTCCAAAATCTAATTATTAAGATTAATTACTATTTTAAAATAATAAATTACTAAAAATAATAAATAATAATAATAAAGAATGAGTTTTTAATTCTTATTTTGAGATTAAATAGATTCATTCTCTTCTAATTTATATATTAAATCATTATATCTAAACAAAACTAATTTCATTAATATAATTTAAATTTTCAAAATATATTTCTATTTTTTATTTAAATATTTTTTAAATTAATTGATTTTATATAAATATGTTAATATTTAAAAACAAAAAATCAATGAAACTAAAATTGGCTTGTTAGCCTAACATAAGGCAAGGTTAAGTTAAAATTTTTTGTTCATTTTAAAATATATATCAGGTTGGACCATCAATTTTTTTTTTACTTGGCCCGTAGAGTTAGGTCAGGATGGGCTTGGCTGCCCGTACACTTATTTTTTATTCAATTAACACAACAGTATATCTAGGGATGGAATGATGATTAGCCTTGTGTTTGACCTTTGTTTTAATTTGAATTGGGTCTTTTATCTTATTAAGGGATTAATAGAAAATTCACGGGATTTAGGCTCTTTCACAAAAGGGATCATGGAAATAGGTTTTTAGAAAGTTAAGGTGACATGTTATAACATGAAATAGAGAAAAATCATTTAATTGCATCTAGGGCAAGACAAGCACCCAACATATTTCGTATTATGCATAATACTTATTTTGCTCACAATATGTTTAATAAAATTTCTATTTGAATTTGGTTCTGTTTTACTGTCTTAGAGCTTGAATTTATATTGATTGATTATTTCTCTAGAGTATAAATTTCATTGTTCTTTTGAGCATTAAATTTACACAAAAGTCTAGTACAAGCAAGTCCTCTTAGGAATGATTTAAATACTTATTGAAAATACTACATTGGTAGCTGCACTTGCCAATTGTGTAACAACAATCAATAAGAAATACGAGAATGGATTCCCCAAAATCTAGCTGAAAGTATTAAGAGTATTTGGAACTATATTAGAATGGATTGAGAATGAATAAAGCCTTACAAAAACTATTACGAGTACTTGGGTGGTATACTTAGCTATCTTGGATCTTAACACACACCCGTCATGCCTAAGTTGAACATTTGGGGCATGAAGTTTGAAGGGCTGGACATTTGTTGATGTCCAAGTAATCATGAAATCTTAACCATAACTACTCCCCAATTAAATATGGAAATTTCCCACAAGGGACAAACATCCACAAATAATTTTCTCCTTAAAGTTCATGAAGATCTCTAATTTCATAGATTGTTAGAGAAGAAGATTTAAGAGTCTATTATTTGGCTCCTTTGAGAAAAATCGGACCATATATTGTGGCCAAATAGAGACAATAGGGGTCCCTTTGAGGAAAATTGGGTAATATAACACAACATTTAGATATTTGGTTCTAAGCAACATCAAAGAGAAAAGTCATTCAATATGATTTTAGTAGTCATATAGCATTCCATGTGTATTATTTGTGAGATATGATGTTGTCCTTCGCTACTTCATAAGCAACAAATTAGCAACCAAAACACAAGATAAAAGAAGGAAGACAATCTGCAAATTAAAGGAACAGATATATGTCAGAAAAAACCAATACCTTGATTATAAGGTCATTAACTGATATGCGGGATCCACCAGAGGCTTCTTGTAATGAATTGAGTTTGGTCCGTAAACTGCAGACAAAGTGTTCCAATTATCAGAAATAATATGTATGGCCGGTAAAGCTGTTAAAATGTTGATAATAGAGAAGCACCTCATGAGTTTATCAACACATGCATCCACTGTTAAATAGTAATGAGGAATAGTTTGTTTTGATAATAATAGCCGTGAAGCAGTGACCTGTAAAAATATGTATAGTTTTATTCAAATACATCACCCATGCTTACACAACAAAAGATAGATTAAAATCTGAACATTACAGAGAAGTGAACAAACACAAGGAGAAAATAAAATATGCCAGAAGTTATGAACAAAAGTACCAAGAAGCATATGAAACTACAGTTTGCAAGAAAATTAGAACTTCATATGTGACAGTACAAAAAATGGTCTTCAATTTACGTTTGAAATAGAAAAATCATCAAATAAAATTTCAGCACTTCTTTATAAATTACCTTCCGTATCTGAGAGACAGGAATGTCGGTATAATCCAAAGCTGCATCTGTTGCACCCTTGGCCTTTGAGGGGGCCGAAACTTCTTTAGCACCAGAAGCTGCATCGTATGGTAAAAAAGGTTATAATATAATCAATTCAATCAGCCAAATATGACAACTTGACAGGATATCCTAGAGCAAGCAAGATAGTGTGAGGAATTCTCTAGCAACAATGAAGTGTTCCCAGTATAATATGTACAGAAAACAGACAAATTAATATATATATAAAAAGATAAAATTATACCCAAGAAATCTTCAATGTCAGCCTTCACAATGAGTCCTTCATGTCCTGTTCCTTTAATGCTAGAGAGAGGTACCTACATTGGCAAGGGAAATGGATTATCCAATGTCATCAAAATGACATAGTCTAGTTCTTTTACTGAAAGACCATCAACCATGTATTTTGGTATTAATAACTAACATTTTTCTCTTCAGCCAACTTTCTAGCAAGAGGACTAGCAAATATACGATCTCCAGATGACGGTGGTGCACTAGGTTTGGAAACCTTTGGCTCAGGTTCTCGGGCAGGCTCCTCCACCACCTCTTTCCTTGGTGGGGATGGGGCAGATGTTTCTGTGGCAGCAGGCGCACTTGATTCAGATGCTGAAGGTTTGTAATCTTTAAACTTTGCAATATCCCCCTCATCTTCAACAGTTATGGCGATTACCTATGAAAAGAATTGTTCATGTTACCAACACTGATGCCTTTCATATGTCAATAGGGTTCAGAGTGCAAAGCAAAAATATTTTTTCCCGCAATTCCAAAATGTGGAACAATAAATAAAAGGTCCTTATCAAATAAGAAATGAGGAGGGGATAGCCAGAAGATATCAATACCTCACCAACTTTAATTTCTTTTTGCCCATCTCCTCGGATTATCTTGGCCAGATAACCTTCTTCCATACTTTCCATTTCAACAGTAGCTTTATCCTTCATACAAAATACATTTATGTCAATGTTCACATAAGAACCTTAATAGTGGTATTTTATGTGCCAAGTCTCTGGAACAAGAACTATACAGTTTCAACTTCACAGAGCACTTCACCAGGAGAGACTTTATCACCTTCTTTCTTCAACCATCTCGCAATGTTACCCTGCGTATAATTGAAAATTATGTAGGAGAAACCATGACCACTATATGACAATACCATTAGATTCAGAAAAGTAGAAACCTCTGTCATTGTAGGTGAGAGAGAAGGCATTCCAATTTCCTGGTGTGGGGGGAGATCTGAAATATATTCACCAGTGTTGGTGATGAGTACACTATTATTTAAATTGATAGTCTCAAAACATAATATTTTCTTTAAAAAAAAAACAAACAGAAAAAGGAAAGCTTCAGGAGAGGTGCAAGACTGTGGTAACTTTTGGAAAGATAAAATTCTTGCATCTTAAAAGCTATATCTTTAGGTAATAATCAATTGAGTGCATAGCATCTCCCGTGAGGGTCAGATACAACGTTCCACACAATAGAAATGATAGAGAAGCATTAGCTGTGGCATGACATGATAATTCTCATGACTGTTGACAAGTTAAAAGGAACATTACATTCAGTCTTGTAATGTTAGAGAGATGTAATTTGTAAAACCATTCATTCCTGTATGTCCAACAAAAAAAGCTTAAGATTAGAACACCTATTACCATATCAGGTGATTGAGTGACCTAAACCATGTCTGTGCACAGTGCATTGCCCATGTTTTATGCTGAAAGGGTTCTTTTGTAAATGGAGATGCCCTTAGCATCTTATAAAAACAGCCTCAGAGCTCAATCCAAAGTCAAGGTCACTAGTGAGTAGAAACTCTGGCCACAGACTAGTAGAGGTAGCTCTACATTTGCAATTCTCAACGCAATACATTTCTCATTCTATTTATAATTTACACTATAAAAAAAACTAACATTTTAGGAGAAAAGATGTAGTGGGTTAAATGCAGCCTCATAGTGCCTAATACATATCTTCCATTTCAATCAAATTTCAAAATTTAATTTGCCAAACTGTGCAAGTGTAAGAACTCAGTACTGTAAGACATAATATGCATTCAAAGGCTCACATAGGTGATAAGCATCACCCATATTGCAAATCTTTGATATATGCATTACTAATTAAAAAACAAAACAAAACCCCAGTGAACATTTTAATCAGGCTACTTGTCTAATTCATATTCTATGATCATGAAATGTCAAAAGACATAAAGCTTATTCAGGAATATCAGGACCCATAAAATCTCAAATATATATAAAATAATCAACAAAAATAATTTTGAAAAGCTTCATGGGATACCCAACAAAAAACTGAGGGAATAAAATGAAAAGCCCCAAAGAACCATGAGCTGTACCTGAGGCTGAAGCATAGCATCTCCTTGACAACACCTGAGAACTGCTTTTGGTGGACACGGTTCATTGAAAATAAATAATTACTGTCCATCCCTTTGGAAGCGAGCCATATGCAAGAAAAGAAAATTTAAAATTATTATAACATAAAGTGACATACTGTGAAATCTCTATCATGGAACTCCGTTTGATGCTAGCCATGGACATGTTTCTCTTCTGCGTACCAAATGAATGTTTCTATGAAAAAGAGAAAACAAGTCAGCTGAAACTGTTAACATGCAGAGAGAGTGAAAAGCAATAGAGTAAGCGAGGAAAAGAACGGGAGATATTGAAGACAGAAAAAAAAAAAACATATGATATATTGCTTAATTTGCACGTAAATTTGCTCTACTCACATTAAAGCCGGAGGCCGGTTCAAAGACACTGCTTCTTGTTGAAGACTCAAGGAACTTAGTTTTCCACACATCTAAACAAATAACCAACTCCAATTATAAACATAGACGATAAAACTTAAGGAACACCATCCACCAGGCATTCAAATGAAATGGTTCCCAAGCAACAGAATATGAATACAAACTCTACAATTACACTTGTATTTGCCGCTAACACACAAACAAAATAATTAAAACACCCAATCGGTTGCCAACATACCTATAGCAAATCAAGCATTCTATACTGTTCCCCTTTCTAAATACGAAGTTTCACAGGAATAATTAATTAGGTCAATCCAATAGAGTATTCCTAATTTATATTGAAATCCGCTCTGAATTCAGTTGCAGACAAGAGTTAACCAATAAACGAAGCAGTTACCGCGGTTCCGGTGGAGAGAGGATTGAGCATCGCCGGAAAACCAACGAATCAAGAGAGCGCGCTCGCGGTGCAGTAACTTTGAAGCATTTCTCATCTGAAACCCGCACACGGCATTAAATTAACAAAATAAAAATGCGTGCGCGTGTTTGCATTGAAACGCGAGAAACTTGAATGGTAGGCAAAGATGTAGTAGAATATGATTTACCTTGGCGGAATGATTGAGTAAATGAGATGCCATCGCCGATGAACGGAAGAGAGATTGAGAATTGGCGAGAGAAGGAATAAGGAAGACGGAAGAATGGTTTGTTAGGGTTCGTTCGGTGGTAGATCCGATCAGGTAGATGTAAATGGCATGCTATGGTAGGCTATGATGGTAGCAGCTATGGAAGTATACCAACCAAACCAGGGATATTATTTCTATTTCTTTAAATACATTTTTCTATAATTTTTTATTTTTTAAATTATTTTTATTATTATGTTACTACTGAAACGTTGTTTGTCAACAAAAATTTCTCAATTTTTTTAAATATATAAATTTAATTATTTTTTTAATATAATTTTTTTTTCTCTGGTAATATCAAAAGAACGGTATTTTTATTTATTTATTTTATTTTTCGTCCAACTTATAATAACTCATTCAAAGCAGTACGCTTCCCTTGAATTAAAAAATATAATGCTGTGTGTGACTTTTTGGGTAGGAATGTCTGCATTGCTACATCAGGTAGGAGTTTTTATTTTATTTTATTTTTTAAACTCTCCTTTTATTTAAATCATAACATTTAAAATATTATGATTTTAAACCCTTGAATTAAAAAATATTTTTATTTCTTTAAAATATTTAATTTTTGCATTCAAAAATTAAAATATTATTTATCTTAAATTTCAAGAAAAAACATAATTAAATCCTTCTTTATAATTTCTATTTCAATTTTAAAATTAAATTTTGGTACGATAATAACATTTAAATGATTTTCAAAAGAAAATTTCAAGACATTCTTTTCAAAACTTAAAAATAAAATAAAAAATTATTATGGATTATATATTTAAATTATTTAAAATTATACAAAATGGATTAAAATTAAAAAAATTTACTTACATCAGCCCTAAAATTTAAACTATTTATATATAAGACTTAAAATTAAATATTTATATTTATTTTTAAATAATTTTTATTGAAAACTCTTCATAGACATATCTTAACATCATATAAGACTTTTATCACTAATTTCGTTTTATTTTGTAAATTTTTTAAAAATATGCTGACATTTACACAATTAACATTAACAAAACAATTTTTAGACAACCCAGTATAATAATATAGTTTAATTTAATTAAAAAAATAAAATTATTATTATATTAATAAATAAAAAATGATAGATAATTGTATGGTAAAAAGTGGGTTCTCCACATTTTTTTCTTTTCTTTTTAAGATCTTAACTCTTCTTCCCCTGTCTAGAAACTCTAAGTTTTGAAGGTGTTAAAATTAAAATAATTATATTTTATGTATAAAAAATAGATTAAATATATTTAGTTAAAGTATTTTTAGAATGTAATTTTCAATAAAAAAAATTAATAAATTTCCCTCAATGCGAATGTTCTTAAAAAAAATATTTTATTACATATTATATAATCATGAATAAAAAAGTAATCAATCATATATTTTTAAAAATTAATTAATCAACTTATGTATCTACAAATTTGAAATCGATCAACTTAAATAAAAAAATGACTTATTTTGTCGATATGTCCTATAATATAAAACATATTCTTTAAAGATAGAAATTAATTTCTATTAAATTTTTAAATATTTTGTAATAAAATATTAAAAAATATATTTTTAATAAAATTTAAGTTAAATTTTTATAAATCTTTAAAGTAATTTGATTATTCATCTTTCTATCTCCTCTTATGAGTTCCACCTCAACTATTGATGAATGGCAATCAAAATAATTGTTGTTAACATTAAATAAAATTCATCTTAATTAATATGAAGGAAAAACATTATTGATATCCATATCTATTTCAAATATACTAGTTAAAATATTTAATAAATTATATTTAATTTTTCTAATTAAGTTAAAGTAATATTTTTTTAAAATTTATGAATATCTACATTTTGATACTTTTTTATCATATTTTTTAAAATAGTATTTATTAACAGTCTTTTGTATATGTATTATCTTGATAAAATATAATAAAAGTTACCAAAAGTATAATATATAAAGACACGGAATATACCCATTATTTACAAAAAAAGTAATACATTATAATAATTATTATCTTAAAATAATCTTTTAAATAATCTTAAAACATACTAAAAGAGATGTAACTTAGTGATATATACTCGTTAAAAAAAATAACATATAAGCACTATATATTATATAAGACTTGAATATGATTTTTTTTAAGATATTTGAATATGAATGTTAGAGTACATAGATAATCTAATTATGAGTAACTAATATTTACCATCAATGAATTGTTTATGTTGACAATAAACACTCATCAATAATTACATAGTATTTTTCAAGTAATTAAATTCAATTTTTATAAATGAAAAATATATGATTTGAAAGAAAATATCATAGTCAATTTTAAAAAAAATTATCAGTCAAATTTAGTGATACTTCACATTGATATTATGATAAAAAAAAGAGAGTAGAAGAAAACAATAGTAGTTTCAAAGAATATAGTTGAAATCACTCAGAAATAAAAATAATAACAGTGTCATTATCAGGCAAAAATTATGGGAAAAGAATGGACATGTTTTGAAAAAGACAAAGCGAACACGTACGTAAATATTTGATGGGACTAATGTCTGACAAGAAATAACATGACAGAAATATTCTATTATCTAATGTTTGTAATACTCCAACAGCAATTGGGCTTAGGATGTTGCGTTAAAGTTATGTGGGCCAGAAAAATAATGAAAACCCAATTGAGCTATTATCTTAGGCCTAGGTGACTACAATAAGCACAATTTATCTAATAAAATATTAACACCTTCCTGCACACCCATCATTACTCTCTCCACCTCCATATCAAAGTAAAATAACTAAAATATTTTTTTAATAATCTTTGTTTCAAACCTTAACTCTTTTTCTATTTTCTTACGAAAATAAGTTGAGCACCTTCATTGATCATCTTTTAAACCTTTATAAATATAAAAAATTATTTTCTTGTATATCACTTTCATTTAAAATTATTTTTAACACTTAAAAATAAATAATCATTAATATTACATATCAATTAGTATTCTTATTATAAAATTATACATTAAAACTCAAATTGTTTAATTGATAACAGAGTTATAAAAATTAGAGTGAATTCCAAATTATCCATCCAAAATTTATTTATAGATTGACATTTTTAAAATTGCATTCCATAATAGTCATTTCAAGATAATTTTTTAAAAAATCAATCAAAAAATATATTTTGGATTCGGTATTCCTAAATACATTTTTAAAAAACCCAATCCATAAATATATTCAAAAAAAATATTTTCTAGAAACTGAAAAATAGATTTTAAAATATATTTTCATAATTAATTTTTCAAAAATATATTATAAATTAATAGAAAGAAAAGTTTTAAAAATATATTCCAAACCCACAAATCTAAAATATATTTTTAAAAAATTAATTTTAAAAATATATTCCAAAATTCACTTTCTGAAATTTATTTTCCAAAACTGTATTTTCAATCTTCTAAACTATATTCTCAAACGATGGAACGTGTTTCCTGGAAAAAAAAATGTTGATAAATGAATAATAAAAATTGATATAAATTAAAAACATACAGAGATTCTTACAGTATAGAATAAAAATGCATTAGTAATGATTAAAAATAAGATATTCTAATATTTAAAAATAAAAAATAAACACTTACAAAGTGAAGATAAATATAAAAATAAAATTTAATTTAATTTAATTACCTGGTTGAGGAAGAAACAAGATACAGTAAGAAAGTGCAATAACTTTTGGCACTTCCATGAAAAGATTTAACAACGACGCGGGGACAGGTTTCAATCAATCAATTATAGCAACAGCGACAGGAATTTGATAAGAGAAAAACTAATATTTATTATTATTTGTTCACATGGAAAATCTCAAGTAAATAATATTTTCAATTTATAAATGTTAATTATTTACATAGAAAATATCAAATAAATAATATTTTCAATTTACAAATGTTAATTGTTTACAGAGAAAAACTCAAAATAAATAATATTTGGTTAGACGTGATACATATCATTAAAGAGTATTTTGCAATATTAAGTATAATGTTAAAAACCGCTATAATAATAAATTAAATAGTATTTTATCATGATATTATAATATTAAGGATTGATGTAAATTTTTTACATTCAGAAATTTAATCAATTTTTTGCACTTTCAAAAATTAGTTTCGCGACGTTTTACATAATCAACTTAGTGATTTGCTCTATAGAAAATAAAAAGTGGAAATATAAGAGTTTGTTTAATTTAATTTTGTTTTTTTTTAATTTTGAAACATCATTTTTAAAAATAAGTTATTTTTTTATAATTTAATTTTTAAATATATTTTAAATAAAAATACCATAAAAAATAATAACCAAAGTTGATAAATATTTTTGATAATTTTATGATAATAGAAATAAATTAATTAATGTAATTATTAATTATAATGTTTAAATTCGTGAATAAAAATATAAAAAAATTTAATTTTTAAAAATAAAAAAACAAAAACACTTTTTCCAAATTATTTTGACAAGGTAATTATCAACTAAGTTTTTTAATTTTTAAAAACTAAAAAAAATATTCAAAAATAGAAAACAATCAAACTTTATCTTTAACTCTGTACGAACTTATCATTCGTTAATTATAATTAAAGTTTGTAAGATATAATTAAAAAGAACATAAACGAGCATAAATAATAATTCTATATAAAAAATTTATACTAAGTATAAGATTTTTTATACACTCCACTAATTTCATCAAAGAAGAGATTAAATAAATTTATATAAAGAAATTATTCAGGTACAACTTTTGCATGGTATTAAATTTTAAAAATATATAAAAACACTTTTATTACAATAAAAAATCTTTCTAATTTATTACTAATAATAAGATGATTTTTTTAATATGTTGAGAAACGATAATTTTATTAATAAATAAGATTATGAATACATAATTAAAAAAATATAATGATGTTAAATTAAATTAATATCTCTCTTATTTATAAAATATATAATCGTATTT